TGTCCCCAGTTTCCTCTGCTGAGGCTTTCACTGACTCTGGGCACACACCAGGAGAACTTGCTATTTCTTGGGTGAGCATGTTGTAAAAGAAAACAAACTACATTGGACAGGTCCCAAGCCAGACAATCTGAGATTGTGCTCACAGAGGAATAACAAACATCAAGACAGGATGTCCTCCTTCCTCTTCTTTGAAATAAATACACTTTAAAAATAAACAGTCTTTGGGATGCAAGCAAGACAGCGTCCTCCGGGATGCTGCACACAGCAGCTCCTTGTAACTGGAATTAACATGAATGAAGAAAATTTATCACTACTTCACCTTTTTGAGCTTCAGCAAAAACTACGAGCACAAATAGCCAGGACCCTGCATCACTTTGTTTCCACTTCTCTTCAGCAGGGCTTACGTCTTTACAAGCTAAACCGCATGGCCGCGTCACCTTCTCTTACCAGCTGCGTGTCGCAGCATCCTCCCCGCATTCCCCCGGGGCTCCCAGCATCACCTCACGCTGGAACCATTGCTTTCTTGGAGGCAGGACAGAGAAGCTTGAGCAACTGAGCCCTGCCTGCTTCTAGCGGTCCCGGCAGAGGATGGTACCCGTCACCGAAGAGCGCTTGTGGGCCAGCTAGAGGCTGCCGCAACTTGCCATTCGTGGCTTTTTGCGAGACCCTCCCTGCAGGCTTGGAGCGTGGCTTCGCTCTCATGCAAGCAGCCAGGAGGTCTCCTGGCTTTGAGATAGGGTGCCGCAAGAACTTGCCCTGTCCTGGCAAAATGAAGGGCTTGCTTCTGTGTGTGCCTCTGACCCAGCTCTAGTCTGGTGCTGCCTTTGGCAGTAGTTGTGATTAGAGAGAGGGTGCTAATTAAATTCTTCTCAGAGCAGGATTCCCTTATGATGTGTTGGTTCCCTGACAACGTTCCTACTGGAATAATGCAGAGGGTCCAGGGCTACGTCTGTAGGTATTGTGCGAGTGGAGAGCAGAGTTGAGGGTTGCATTACTCAGAGGATAACTACTCTTTCCTGCGCATATACTTGGTTGGGCCTTATAATAAACTCCCATCTGGCCAAAACAATGATTTTCCTCCTCTCCTGCATGGGAATTCTGCTTTTTATGAGTGCCACCTGCTTCTCAAGAACTTTTTGGTGTATAGCGTCCAGTTCGAAGAAATCACATACTGGCTTTGTGCTGCACCCCGACATATCAAGGGCTTGCTCTTTCTGCGAGAGATGGTGCCCCTCAGGAAGCAGACGCTGGTGTCTGCGGTGGGATTTCTGAACAATGGCTTGCCGTCGCTTGTGGCCACATCTGTTCCAGCCCAACATAGCAGGCTGCTTAAGCAAAACTCCCAGGCTCTCTACAGCTGCGTCGCGCACGCGCTTGTTGCAAAACCTGCGCTTCAGAGGGCAGCAGAGCATTCACCCCACCAGCGGGCACCGCTGCCGGGATCACCTGCGAGGGACTAGCACGAGGTCCTGCCTTGTACTCCTTACTCCCCGCTTTCCTGGTGCAGGGGCCTTATAACTCCTTACACATGTGTATCTTAAGTAGCTCGAAGCTGATGGCAATATTAACTACTCATTTCTAGGGAGTCCAAATGTCAGCACAGGAGGAGGCAAGTAAGTGCGTGACAATGGGGCAGTTTTAGTAATGGGCGTAGATTTACGCTTCCGAGAGGGTTGTGTAGTGTGAAAAGGGGAAATGTGACGTCTTGGCATGTTCTGAAATGTTCAACCGTTGTATTTCTGCCCAAGAAGCAATAGCTGAGACTTGAGTTACTCCTCCTCTGCGACCTACCAAGCGCTGTTCCCCAGTTATCCTAATTCGGAAGGCAGGTAGGGTATGTCTGACCGCAGCGGGCTGGAGGTTCCGTTCAACAAAACTGGTTTAAATCTTTGGGACTCCTAGCCAGAGTGGGAAGTACTGAAGAGCAGATGAACAGGACTGGTAATCTGGTTCTCCCTGCTTATAATTGACCTAATTGGTGTGGGCATATATCAAGTGTTGTTTTTAAAAAAACAACAACCTATCATTTGCAAAGATTAAAAATGTGCCAAATTTTTTGCGTGCCTCTGCCAAAAGCCCATGATTCTATAACTTGCTGCAGAAGGGAACATCTGTGTCTAATTGATGAAACGCAGCCTTCATAATGGATGATTCAAATGAACTAATCAGTTTTGTCACTCATTCAGTTGTGGATTATAAATTAATCAGAAATCCTTTCCCCCCCGCCCCCGGATCTGTCTTGCATTTCCTGTCCCTTGCGGGTTTTTTTCCCTGGTCTCAGAGCAAGTCTTGAATCTTTTTGGCCTCCCAAGCCGTAATAAATGAACAATTCCCCCACTGCCATGACCTTTCAGCCGTATTTCTGGAATGCACACATTGCACAAATCCCCCCTGCCTGGCTTCAGGGATGCAGGGTACCTGTTGGGATTCAGCTAGATATCGCAGCCAAACGGTGGCCACGTGGCTCGTAGGGGAACAAGAGGCATTTGAGTTTGAATCCAAGATTCCTTGGGTATGTACAGAGTCTGCGAGATATTTCTGTCCAAATGACGCCAAATTCGAGTGAAAATGCAGGCAGGAAAGGGAGCCTGTCCTGAGAGCGTGGGCGAGGGATTTATGGGGGGATGCACTTACCCGTTCAGCACTTTGGTGATTAATCCCACAAGATCCACTGAACTGATGGCTGCTGCTTTTGGGTGTTAACAAAGTCTTCTGGTAGTAGAGGTGGGGCTGTGAACGCCTCCGAGTGCCTTCTCGGTGTCTGAAAAAAAGCAATTAGATCAGTTCACATATTCCTCAAAATAACATCTCAACCCTCAATCTTTGCTAATTTAAGGCGGTTTGGGCCAATCTGTAATCCTCCCACATCCAGGAGTACCATCCTGCAATAGCAACAGTTCTGGTGTGCATTCTGGCTCCAAAACTGGGTACATATTTTAGTTGAAAAGTTAGGCATTATTTACTGTTTCTTGCTATGCAAATGTCTTATTTAAAAGTCAGCCCAAAAGACTAGCACGGGACAAAGGCAAGTCTGCACTGATATTCTGGGACAGAGGGAAGGAATATGAGGGACGTCACAGAAAAGCCCGCTTTCCTTCTTCCAAGTGTAGGAGCAATCCTCTCCCTAAGGGAAGAGGAGCATGTTCACTGGAAACCAGCCAGTTTTTAGTAAAATCCAAGTGACAACAAATGTGTCTGTAATTCTGATGTGAATTAGCAAATAGATCTAAATGTTAGGATCTACAGCCTCTTAAACTGACATAAAGTTTTGCTGTTTTCGCCTGGATTCTTACCATGAATTAGCTAATTCGGACTAAACCCCAAAATTTTACCTCCTAGAGAAAAGATCGGTAAACTTCTGTTCATTTGCTTTGGTATTACATGCTGCGGGACTCCTAAGGCATTGGACAGAGAATGATATGGGTTTGCACATGAATGTGGTTTCTTTTCCACTTGAGACTTCAAGCCATAGTCCAGCCCAGGTGTCTTAAATGAGAAGCCTGTAGTTTATTCCACTATAATTAACATAAGCTTTGATTTAAATGACACTTTTACAAGTCAAAGATTGGATTTCAAGTTGAATACAGAATACAATTTCCACCCACGTTGCTGTTTTGGTCCTTTTCTGTTGCCATCCTGCCATCTATCCTGAAATCACTCAGAAGATGAAAAGCACCTGCTAGAAAACAAAGGTCATGCCTTGCAGAACAGGTCTGGCTTTTTGTTTTTATTTAAGGGCTTTTAGCATTTGGCATTGCTTTTTTTTTTTTCTTTCCATTTCAGTATGAGCCAAGGGGAAGGACTAAGAGGAAAAAAATCTGGAGTATTTTGATCTTTGTGGCTTTATATGGACTTCATAATTTGTCAGTTCTACTGCCAAGCTTCCTTTGTGTTTAAATAGATAACAGACTGAGACGACTAATCATTTCCAAGAAAAAAACCCCACCGAACCCAAAGCATTCCCTTTCTTTTCCAACTAATGCTTGTAAACCCATGCTCCTAAACAGGGCTTGTGACCTAAGTACTTCTGACTTATTTTTTCCCCTTCTCAAAAACAATTGCCCAAGGTGCAGACGGGGCTCTGTGCTCTCCAAATTTATGAAAGAATCTTGAAAAGAAGGCTCCGAGAGTGTCTTTGGGAGAAGGTAGTTGTAAATACGATGCGTGAAAGCAGCCTCGTGTACCGTTAGAGAAGCAGCAGCATGGTAGTTGGTGCCGCCATTTACGGACGTCCTTCCTCTTTGGAGCCTGAAGGCTATTTCTGGAGAAAGAAGAAATAGCAAATTCCGCACGGGACCATGGTTGTGTTATGTAAAATGCAGGCTGATTGCTAGTTTACTAGTGAGAGCTGGTATCTGCTGTCACTATTTTGAGAGGCTTTGCATTTGAAGAAGAGACAATTTACCCAATCATATCCACCTAGATTTTACTGCTTGTTGAAGTAAATAAGGCTGAATGTCTTTGAAACAGAAGATGAGTTGGATGGATGCATCATGGGTAATCACCAATGCAAGGGGGTTTTTTCCATTAAAAAATGTTTTTGTAATGAGAACCCAGAGTTTGAGATGCTGTGGTGACACAATTTTTCTTTAGCTTCTTAAGATTTTTATCACACAACCAGCTGTTTAGGATGACACATTTGTGCAGTCAAAAAGTTGTGTGTTAGCCAATAGCAGAAACGGATGCTACTATGATCAGTAGTAGAAAGTGAGAATTATGTGAATTACTCATCTGGGTTATATTTCTGTGCAGGTTGATCGTTCAGCGTACACTTCCACGTTCTCTAAGAATGGCTTTCCATGTTAGACGTATTAGATTAATGCTCCAAATGGGAAAGTAGACAATAGACTCGTACAAGCTTAACAAATTCCCCTTTCTTGAGGCTATCTTATACCAGTCCCTGAAGGGAAAGGAAAGAGTAGGACCTTCAGCAGGTTCATCAGACTGCATCCTGTATATCATCTCTGGCAAGCTGTAAGCTTATTTGTTGTATTTCCCAGGTGTATTATTCCTGTGGTGCAGTGGTGGAATCGATGGAAAGAGGCCTGATTTTATCACCAGGTTTTCCAAACAACTACTACCCAGGGACACACTGCGTGTGGCAATTTTTCATTCCCATGAGAACCCATCTTATCTTGGAAATTTTTGACTTTGACATTTTTGAGAGCTCTAATGAAACTCCAACTCCCTGGGATGGCTTTTCAACCCCCGCTAAAACAGGAAATAAGGACGTGCCTTCTCTTGAGGAAAACCTAGACTTTGCTCTCCGTACTACAAAACCCTCTCTCCAGACCTGGATGTCAAAGGTGGCTCAGAATCTGAGCAGCACAGGAGATCAGTCAAAGGACTTTGCTAGTCACCTGGATGAACTTCCAGGAACCACCTCAAAAAAAGATGAAGCCAAACAAGCATCTGAAGAAAACCAGTTGAAGCAGGTGAAGGAACCCAAAGCGATTACCAAGGCTCAAGCAGAAGAACTGCCATTCCCTGTGGCTGGTAGTGCCACAATGCAGAGGCAGAATACCAGTGACCTGGAAACAGAAGAAGATTTGGAAGGGAAAATCTTGTTTGCCCACCTAGCTGCTAGCGAGGGAGATGAAGTTACGGTAGAGAGCTGGACTCTTCCGACAACAGTATTGCCCATGGAAATCTCCTCCAGCCCACAGTCAGCAGTGGATGTCTGTCCCCACGATGTACTATACGTTTCCGATCTCATCACATTTTCCTCTCGCTTCTGTGGACCAAATTCACCTTTAAACAAGACCATGGTCTTTGGTTCATCTCTGGAAATGGTTGAGGTTATCATGGAACTGATCACCACCACGGACCGGGGCCGAGGCTTTGCAATGCTCTTTGAATACAAGAACATCACCGACCCTAACACAGTAGATGCTGTGAGACAGGCAAGAAAGGAAAACGTGATGATGCTGGCAATTATAACAGGGATCGTCGTCTTTGCACTTGCTTTGCTCTCTGCCCTCTGCATGGCTTGCAGGTAAGATGATGCATATCTGAGCCTCTGAAGCATGTGATATTATCCATACAGGAAAAAGACCGGAAAACAAAGTTATGTTTCCTTTCCTCTGCTAATGCTTGCTGTCCTTTAAATGTAATAAATTGTGTGGATACAGAGGAGATCAATGCCAGTCACTACTCCTGCCCTAGGCTCCTCAGTTTTCTTTCCTAGTTCTACAGTTCCTGTGCCTCCAAGTTTATTTTCTTTGTCCTGCAGAAATACCTGAAGGGTGACAACTTTCTTGGGCATTATTTTGTTTCAGTGGCAGTGGTGCCTTTGAACCTCAGTTTTGGGACACTAACTGGCCAATGGGCAAATGAAGAACAGAAAGATCATCCTTCCCCGCGCCTCCCGAGCAGGCTGAGCTGACAGCCACTGCGTCTTTTCACAGTGATTCCACAGTTTGACTCTAACCATCACTAATGTTCTGCAGAAAAGTAAATAGTAACAAAAGTATTACCACTTAGACTTAAGATTAAATAATATTTTCCAGTCTGTAGCATGTTTTATCCAAGAGACTGCACAAACATTTTAATTCCAATGCGCTTGATGTGTTAAGCAGTCATTTGCACAGCCCTTTGGCTGCTGGGGAAGAGCCGAGAGCCATGCTGCAGTACCTGTGACTGTCCCCAAATGTCATCCGAAATGACACAGTCAAGCGAGCTGATGGTCAGGCTGGATTGCTGATTTCCAAGTCCTGATGCTAACTAGTTAAGTGGCTAAAACCAACCAGTGACAAAAGCATACCTCTCCAGTCAATTGCTTTTATTTTATATATTTCTTTTCTCTATCAGGAGGAAGCTTCTCCACCCCCCAGCATATGTTTGCATTTTTCTTACTAACTCCCTAGTGAAAACATTTTTGCAGAAACAGTGATTTTTTTTTTTTTTTTCCTCCCAACAAATTCAAAACAGAGCCCAAGCTCCCCAGGTTTTTGTCAAAACAAACAGTATTTTCCAAATGTTTTGACTTCAGTGAAAACACCAGGTAAACTGAAACAAACACCGTCCCTTGCCGGGCTCGGCTGCGGTGCCCGGGCATAGGCAATAGCGTTCATTTCCCAGTGGCAGCAGCCAGAAGCTCTGGCTTCCCTCTCCCGCATCCCTGCCTCACCTATTGCGCATCCTCCAACCCCAAAGGCCTCAGCATTGCCCAGCCATGCCGAGGCACTGGGGCTGGTTTGACAGAGGAACTTTGTTTGCCTTGTCCTTTTGGGGGCTGCATTTCTAGCTCTTGCTGAATAAATACAAAATACGGGCCATCATACTGGCTATCAGAGAACGTGGGCAAGGCGGTGAAGCTTAAACATAAACTCTCGCTGTATATAGCAATTCCTGCTTTCGGGGGCTGAGCTTTTCCTAGTTGTAAGAGTTAAATTTGCACATGGTTACATCTAACTAACCTTTTTCCTTTTCAAAGAGCTTGCAGAACACTACTTTAGACCACAATTTTTTGCTAGCTCTAAAGGAAAACATCTGGTGGAAAATGTCTTCCAGATACCAAATACTTTATTTTTATACCCTTGCCAATCTTCAAGAGAGATAGAAACACGCTGCCTTCGCTGTGGCAGCAGTCTGGGCCGATACACATGTCGAGTAGGCTGTTCTTGCTCCATTACCCCTACTTAATTTCACTGTAACTGTCCGTGAAGCAGAGTATTATTCAACCCAAAAAGTACACCAGCAATCTGAGATTCCGTTGGCTGAGGTTTACTCTGCACAGCCTGTTTAGAAAGTCAGGCCATGCTGCTCACATGCACAATTTGGCTTTTTGCTTGTCGGACGTTTACAAAATAAAGTAATACTCTGCTGTTGCGGACCAGAGAAAAACCGAACACATTTTTTTTTTTTTTCTCTCCCCACACAAATGTTTGTGCGTTCTGGTCACTGCAGATACATCCTACCAGGGGTCCTATGGCGCAGGACCAGGGTTAGACTCACTTTAACACTGGCATTTATGCCTTTTGGTTGCTCTGCGACTCTTTTTAAAGGAAGATATACCTCAGTCAGCTATTGACTATATAGAAATAGAGACTACCCCTAGTCCTTTAGCCTCTTGACAGGCCTTTGCTGTCCCAGCTGCCTATATTCCCCGCATGCTATTCCAGGGAGGCCTCGATTACAATACTTTATTTCTTGTCAGACTTCAGTGTTGTTTAAGTGAGGTCTGACACACGTGGAGGCGATGCCATGACCTGTGCTGGGTAACCTCCCTTGCATTGGGAAGAGCCGCCTTCCCTCTTCACTGCGCTCACTGCTTTGAGGATGTTGGTCTCTGACCCCAGAACCGCTGGCGCTGGTTGGAGCTCGCCTACGCTTCCCAGCTGTGGGGTTTTTGATGCAGCTCAGAATAAGACTGCAGAGGCCATTAAGCACATCTAAACTTCTTTTAGCTTGAGCTCGCAAAACTCCATTTTATGCTTTTTGCTCCAAGTAAGGGCTTGAAATCAGGTGTCAAATGTGTACCAGCCACAGCCCGTCCTCACTGCAGAAAGTGTTAGGACCGCAAGCAGCGGGCTGAGGGGAGAAACGAAGATGCTTTAACATCGCAGCACGCTCAGGAACGGGACCAGCTCTCTGAGCACGGTAATACTCGCCCGGCTGGAGCATGCCATTGCAGAGGACGGTAATGGTAACCTTCAAGCTCTTGGCCTCGTAAACTTGCCTTCCACTTTCTTTTCATGCTTTACTTGTTCCTCTGGTTCCAGGTTTAGCTGTATTTTTTTTTTTCCCCCGTTTATATTTGCTGCTCTTGCTCAGCTAAAAGTAGCAGGCTCTGCCTTGCCAGGGGTAGAAATGGCCCGGGATGGGCTTGGCACCTGCTGCCAATCCAATGCACCAAGTCGTCAGCAGTGCCTGCTGGGGCTCATTGCATTCAGCCAGGGCAAAGCTCTCTGGGGAAACTCCAAGTCTCTGCCACACTGCAGCTTTTGTTTGCTGTTTGGCGAGGGAATGAAAGCTTCAGTTGTTAGTTGGCCAATAATTCTAATTACTTCTGGCCATGAGGCCTGGCTCGAGTAATGGGGTATTTTTTATTTTCTTTCCCAAGCCCCAAGAACAACAGACATGTCCACCTTATTTAATTTTAATCCTGTCCAATGCAGTCAGACTTTTGCTCGATGGTTGCAACCCATGGACTGCAACTGCATTTTACATCTGCATAGCCTGCCAACGACCTGTTTCCAATTACAACCCCCTGCGTGTACGGCTGTTTCATCAGGTCATCATGTGCTGCCATCTCTCTCTGTGCAAGCTGCCCTGCCCGTCTCTGCCCACAGCCTGGTCGTCACCTGGGGGTGACACTTTCCGTCGTCATATAACGCCCTCCTAGAGAATCCTGGTCACTTCTGGGCTAAAACCAGACCTTTCCTCTGCCACTCTTAGAATCATCAAATCGTTTAGGTTGGAAAAGACCTTTAAGATCACCCAGTCCAACCATTAACCTACACTACCAAGTCCACTCTAAAGCAATCAAGGGTAGACTAGACTAGGCACAGCCCAGAAATCCCTCCCTGCCTGTTGTGTCCTCCGTTTCTGTCCATCTCTGCATCAGGCTGGCTTAGTTGGAGACCTAAGAGAGCCAGACCTAGCTGGAGCTGCCTGCTGGGGAGCGCAGGATAATTTTCACAAAGCTTCCAACGGACTTGAATTTTTTGGTTTACTTGAGAAGTTTGAAGCAAATTTTTTTTTTAAAAAATTACAACTTCTTTTAAATGATGGAAGGTGGTGTATTTGCACGTTGGCTGTTCTATATCCATGAGCTGCACACTGACCTAAATCGCTGGTCTCCTTGGTGGTGAGGTGCTGCAGCGTGCCACGGGAGATGTAGTCCAGCTGGAGAATGAGCTGAAGAAAGACTAAGATCCCCAGGGCTGCAATCTAGCACATCTCCCAGCCACTGTGGCAGCAGCTCTGAACAGAAGAAAAAAAAATAATCTCAAGTTTCCACCAGAATTGTTGGCCAAATCTAGAAACTCTTGCCCTTTGTGTGTGTTGGTTTTTAACAGTAAATCAAATTGATCAGCGGAAGTCGGACACTCAATACCCAAAGTGTGATAAGGGAAGAAAAAGTTAAAACGGGGACATTTCAGCCAGTTACCATTTTTTAATCCTAATTTAAACTTTGGGAAGAACAGGGCTCTTCCTTCTCTTATTCCCCCTTACGCTACCGTACTTGCAGAGAAAACTTGTCTTTGCCGGGGGCACCTTACTCTCCCTTTGGTTCATTCTCCCAAACTGCAGCGTGGATTTCAAGGTAGTTAACGGTGCCTGCTAAATATTGTAGAGCACAACATTTATAAAGAATGGCAAGGAAAGGAGCCAAATGGATGCAAGGTATTTCAGTTTCTTGATGCAGAACTTGCTCCATCTATCCTAGTTTATCATAGCTGCCAGTTGCTGAGACTTTGAAAATGGATATTTCCTCTTTTCAGCTTTATCCCAGAGAATAGGAATATCTTCTAAACAGGACAGCTCTATACAAGAATCCAAGGAACACATTTTTATTTGTGTTTCTGAGAACTCGAACATTTTGTTTGTTAAGTCATGCTAAAAGTTCAAATAACAAACCCAAAAGCGAGACCATCCAGATAACTACCAAGTCTGGGTTGCCAATGCCTGATGTTCAGTGTGGAAGAAATATGTGCTAAGTTGTGTTTTCTTAGAGGAGAACATCTCCCTTGTGCTCTTTAATCCCCGGGTGGGAATATTTTAACACATTTGCTTGTCACATGACAGTTATTTGAAACAAGAATATTTCATAGGAATATATCAGATTTGATTAAATTTTTGTCATGGGTTTTGGCAGGAAAGAGCTGGGAGGAGGAGAAGAGATGAAAAAAAAAATGAATGCAATGCAGAGAAAGCAGGAAATTACATGTAGTTCTCCCACCATCTAACTGAATGCCTTGACCACCACGCTAATTCGTTATTTTGGGGCATGTTTTG